AATGGTCTCATCTGTCCGAATTAAAAGGAGGGAAATTCAGTGTTGTGAGTTGGTTTTAACACTGCTTTGATCATATTCCAGTTATACCACGACCTTTGCATACTAGAATGATTACAGCAATAGAGCATGGTAAAAATACAATAATACTTAGTGAATGTACATGAACTACCCAAGTTACAGAATCAGTATTTAGTGTCACAGCAAGAGCGTATAGCCTGTCATCTGGCGATACGATACATCCTTGTTTGATACACGGTATGAAAACCACTCCCCCAAAAAAGCAAGGCTCGAGTTGGCTAACATGTTTACAGAGCATGCTAAGTTAGAAGTTGTAATCAGTTTAATCAGCTAAAGGAGTGTCTCATGACAAGTCCCAAATACTGTCTACTCGTATATGCGTCGGGTGTGTCATATGTGTGTGATTTATCGCCTATTAACACCAAAACTGCCCACAAAGCCAGCTGTTTCCCCTGATCTTGTTTGCTGGAAATTCGATTCCTCACTCTGAGATGTGAAAGTGTATACCTTCCTGTATACTTCTTTCTGTCCCAAACTGTTCTCAAATCTTCCAGATTACTCTTTTAGCCCAGTCTAATTATTGTAACTACTATCTTACACACAACTAATATCGTTCACTCCTAATATCTTACAATGTAATACACTCTCAGCAAGGTTTTGCAGTGATATACACTACAACGTACTACTGTATAGTCAGGAGTAAAAGTGTTCTGGATGCTTTGTGTTTCGGACATCATATATTTCCTTTTTTCAAAAGTTCTTAACATCAGGGGCGGTGGGGTAGCCTAGTGGTTAAAGTGTTCGTTAAAGTGTCACGCTGACGACCCACATTCGATTCCCCTCATGGTAACAACGTGTGAAGCCCATGTCTGGTGTCCCCCGCCGTAATATAGCTGGTTTATTACTAAAAGCGGCGTAAAACCATACTCACTCACCCTTAACATCAACCTTAAGCATGTAACGTATGATAGGATTTCAGTCTCTCAGTCAAGTACAGACCCGAGAACTTCTAGGGGGTTGTGCCACTTTTGTGATTTGAGCACACACTCAGAGTTAGGCATCTGAGCGTCAGCACACAAAGCCAGAGATCCAACCCACTCAGCCACCACTATTTCCACAAAACTGGACGCCTTATAATTGGTCGTCCTTATTACACATAAAAAGTACATCAATGTGTTCTTTACTTTTGAGGGTAATCCCAAATATTAGATATGTTACCTTTGACCACTGTCTTAGTCTTAATCATTACTGTTTTGATGTCTTGGACTTTTTGAGTGAGAAGTTAGATACGTTAGACGTATTCTGGTTTCAAGGTGTACGTGTTTGGTCCGAAAGGTTGTGGTAGCGACCTGGATACTTAGCTTTACTTAGCTCATTACAATCAGACCTCTTGCACTGATACATTACCTCTGATTGAAGATATGACCTGCTTGTAGAAGGTCGCATAGATGGAGATGACTTCATGAACGGCACCAACAGCGGATGAAGATATCCTGGTCTATCCAAAGTGGAGTGAGTGATTAAGTTTAGTTTTACGCCGCACTCAGTTAGTTGCCTCTTACGACAAGCGTGGGTTGCTGAAGACTAATTCTAACCCGGATCTTCGCGGGTCTATCCAAAATGGAGGTTTGGGGTCCTTTTGCATAACTTAAGTTCCAGGAACGCATTGTGAAATGGGGCTTAAGAAAGTGCTCAAAAGTTGTTTTCATTATAGGACTATTTGCATGCGTACGTGTTTGGCTGGCACTACTCGGGACTTCAGCCTCTTTGATAGTGCTGGCACACTGAGATACCAACAGTTAAACATGGATGCCCCACCAAGATACAGTGTACGGATTCCGAGCCGGCGAACCCATCTTTATCCCTACATGACAAGCAGCAGGCATGAAAGCAAGAAGTATTTCTGCTGACATCAGGATCTTTCCACACCAGGATTTCAGAAATCAGTAAACGTATGCAGCAACTACGTGGTGAGCCAACTGACTGCATGAGATCCACGTTAGTAACGGGATCAGACCTCACACAGGTTCATCCTATGTCACAGCCTACAAACAACTTAAGAACGCCACCAACCTGAGAGTGAACTCGTGGCTCGGTCAACATAAACAGCACGAGTGAAACAAAGGCCCTCGTGTCTTTGCGAGGATTAATGATTATAAAATATACTGTTTTTAAGATGACCCCCGACTCGAAATGCTTCACAGTACAATACATCATGACAAGATGGTATTATGCTGTGAAGCATTTCGAGTCGGGGGTCATCTCAAATTTGTGTATATATTTAAATAAAATCTTTAATCCTCGCAAAGACACGAGGGCCTGTGGAGTGAAAGGCTATATGGACAGTTACAGTGCATGTGAGTGAGTATGAGTGAGTGAATGTGGTTTTACGCCGCTTTTAGCAATATTCCAGCAATATCACGGCGTGGAACACCAGAAATGGGCTTCACACATTGTACTCATGTGGGGAATCGACCTCGGGTATTTTGCGTGACGATCGAACGCTTTAGCCACTAGGCTACCCCACCGCCCCTAGTAAACATCAACTTCACACTGAACAGCATCATATTCCACTGAAGGCCCTGTTTAATGGCAACCAAATTCTTCAACTGGATGAGGAAAACCTGCTGTGCCCAAAGACTGCGTCCACACGAAATTTTCTTACGTTTTATAATAATAGAGGGTATTTATAACTGCGCCTGTATCCGTGCATTCCATGCTTGCTCAAACAGGTAAATCTATGTACAATGTGTATAGGAGATTACAAATAGTTGGAGTTAAAAAGGAAGAAAAGATCTAAGGGAAAGCTATGGAGAAGTAACGGGTTTTTAGAAGGGACTTGAAAGAGTTCAGCGATTCGACACATTTGACATCAGCTGGCAGTGAATTCCAGAGCAATGCTGCAGTGTAGGCTAAGGTCCCCTGACCATAGGTGACAAGTCTGACTATAGGGACTGCATGTAAGTGCTGATTCTGGGATCTTAGACATCATGAGGGGCGGTGGGGTAGCCTAATGGTTAAAGCGTTGTCTCGTCACGCCGAAGACCCGGGTTCGAATCCCCACATGGGCACAATGTGTGAAGCCCATTTCTGGTGTCCCCCGCCATGATGTTGCTGGAATATTGCTAAAAGTGGCGTAAAACCAACCTCAGTCAGTCTTAGACATCATGCAGGGGTGTACAGAGTGAGAAGTTCAGATAGATACTCTGGAGCTTGACTGTGGAGACATTTATATACAAAGCACATGATTTTTAAGTTCACAGGGTACTTAACAGGGAGCCAGTTTAGGAAAATGAGAGATGGAGTGATGTGATCAATATTAGATTTCAGACATACAATACGGGCAGCAGTGTTTTGAATTGTTTGGAGTTTCTGTACTTGTATGGAGTTCAATCCAGCGTGGAGGCTGTTGCAATAGTCAAGTCTAGAAAGCACAAGAGATCTTTACTAAGGCATGGGCACAGTCTGTGGTGATGTATTGGCGGATTGAGCTAATGATTCTGAGATGGTGATGGCAGAGTAGATGGTTAATGTGGGCATCAAGTGAGAGATTAGAGTCTATGTACACAGCAAAGTCTTTGGCAACAGAGCCATGTTGAATGACAGAGGATGCCACCTTGACACGGAGACTGATACTCCCTGCAGCTGCCTATAACGCTTGGCAGAAGCTAAAAATTTTTTGATGGACTTGACTTTAAATGGTTTAATATTGTTTGAAAATCTAGATTTATAAGCATTCATGAATATATAAATAGTTAGTTTGTCTTAACAAACAAATGATTCAGATGTGTTGTGAAATACATTAGAGCCCAAATTACAAAGACAATGCATGGAATTTGTCAAGAATGGTGCATTTTTATCACATTTCGGATTTGGTTGGAATAATAGCATTTAAAAGTTTATAGAATTTAAACATCAAATAAACAAGAATATGTAAAACTGCTAACTGGCCTTAAAACCATGCAGTAAGAATTGAATGAGGAGACAGAGAATCTTCTTACAAGATTATGTATACCAATGAGCGCTCAAAAAGCATTTGAAATAAATTACTGTGTGGATTGTTCTGAGGAAGTGTTATACCCTGCACAACAGTGTTTCAGCTGTTATACACTGTACCTGTATATTCAGTAACGGCAGTGGTGGGATATATTTAGACTTGTATTATATTTAGACACAGTGCTGGAATGTACTAGAACCGTACCTTTGATGTAGAGAACATTATAGTTTCTAGGAACTTATTTTTGTATACTGGTATATGATGGAGCTAACTATTGGCTCCCATCTCACATTACATCTCAAGTCACCAGAAGACAAGTATTGTGCACCATGGTCCCTGCCTTGCCCTAGTCACAAGTTGGATTACTCTTGCTGAGAGGTAAATATTACCATCAGTGTCTATATTGCTGTAGCCACTGCACTTGGTGGGGTAGCCTAGTGGTTAAGGCGTTCGCTCGTCACGCTCAAGGCCTGTGTTTGATTCCCCACATGGGTACAATGTGTGAAGCCCATTTCTGGTGTCCCCTGCCGTGATGTTGCTGGAATTTGCTGAAATCGGTGTAAACCCATACTCACTCACTACTTATTTGAAAGACAAGTCTTTAATAAGACATGGTCAAACATTACATGCAAAAGAGGCATTCTGCAAACATTTCTAGCCAAACCAGTGTCTGAGTTTAATTTTACTGTATATACAAGCTATGGTTTCACACATAGTTCCATTATGGACTGATTCTGTTAACTATTTAGTTTTAGCTTGGAAATCAATTTTGTAACAGGATGAACAATTTCTCTATAAGACTACAAGAAAATGTACACCCTTTGGTTCCTAAAATCTCTGACTAATGACTGCTGTGTGTAGAGATCAGAACCATTGTTCATTGCCAACTGCTTGTTCATTTGTGATTGGTCGAGTACAAAAACTAGATTTCATCACAAACTGGGTGTTACAGCTGACAGCATGCACAGCAACAATGATCAATATGTTTTATAAATTATTGATTTTTTATTACAATAAGGAATTTAAATTTAAAATTTATTTCTATTAATTGTTCACATAGTATGTACACAAATAAATGCTCTCTCCAAAATCAGTCTATCTTATTAATTATAATTTATATTCAACAAATAAACTCAATAATAACAAATATTATAATATACAATGACATAGTTGATTTAGATCGACACACAGAAAATTTAAAAGCTGCAATTCCACAAAGGAAATATTACAAAATTAAGGATTTCCTCACAGAAAGTAATGGTATTTGATAATACTTCAATATCTTGATGAGAAGATGGTTTGCTGAGATGACAGCAACTGGTAAGGCATCCATGATGTATCCTTGGAGAACATCCAGAATCACAATTCTCACCATTGTGGATGTTGCTCAACAGATATACAAGATTACAGTCTAAGCCTCTGTCAGGTCATCGTTGAAGTACAGATGGATAGCCTGGAGGAATGTATCGTCATTCATGCTCAGCTTGTAGAACTCTTCATCCTCGTCGGGGATGCTGTTTTGTTCCAAAGTCTTCATCATGTCCAGGTTCCTGCCATCATACTTCCACGTGTAGCTGCCAGCATGGCTGTTGTACTTCAGATATAGCGATCCAGGATCTCAGACATAATCTCTTCAGAACACACCTGTTTTACAGAAGGAAGTATGTATATAGATGTGTGAGATGCAGTTTCTATTGTCAAAATGTGTACACTCCATTTGGTATTGATGCAGTTTGGATTGTCAGAAGGTGTACAGTGCATTTGGCATTGTCATAATGTGTGAGATGCAGTTTGGATTGACATAATGTGTATACTGCATTAGGTATTGTCATAATGTGTGAGATGCAGTTTGGATTGTCAGAAGGTGTACAGTGCATTTGGGAATGCCATAATGTGTGAAATGCCATTTTGATTGTCGGAAGGGGTAAATTGCATTTGGGATTGTCATAATATGTGAGACGCAATTTTGATTGTCAGAAGGGGTACATTGCATGTTGGATTGTCATAATGTGTGAGATGCAGTTTGGATTGTCATAATGTGTACAGTGCATTGGGCATTGCCATAATGCATGAGGTGCTGTTACAGTATTTGATCATTCTTTGTCAATATGGCATCAAATATGGTTAGTCAAATCATGTTGGAAGATATTCTCCACTTACCTCGATCACCTGTTCTTGTGATGTGAGGGTGTTGATGATTTTTGCGAATCTTGTCTTCTTGGAGAGTATTCCAACCAGATAGGAATCATCCTTCCACCATGGCCGACCAAAGTCATTGGCCCAGTCAGAGTGAGGGTAGGGTGGTGGGATGTGTACAAACCTGCCATTAGGACAGTACGGAATCACACAGCCTGTCAGGGGGTCAACGTGGGTGCGGATCTGCAGAAAAGTGACACACAAACTAATATATATATACAGACTGTTGTTCCGTCACATGTATGTGGACACATATAAATAGAGGTTATGTCAGCAAGTTTGATTGACTAGTTCTTAGTGCCAGGCATACATTATGGGGATTGGATTGGGGAATTTCTTGCAAAAGCATTAAATCTAAGCTCCCCTAGCATCTATCAGGTTTAACAGGATGGCATTGAGGAAACTTACCATTTGTGCTTATATAAAATTAAATTCAAACACAGGTATTTTCGTATGGTATGTCGAATGGTTCATCAATAATTGTCAACTGCTACATGGACTTATATCTCACAGGGAATATGAAGTGTTCCTCAAATTTCAGGGCCTAATTGTGAAATATTTGATTAACTCGGGGAATATACATGTATACAAATGGGAAAAGCAGGGTTTAAAAAGAGCAAGATATTAGCTGAGATCATTTTTGCCCCATGATCAGAATGATAAAAGAAATATGAAAAATGTTCGGAAGACATTTGTCTGTTTAAACACATTCATGTTGGGGTTTGTCTTACTTATTTGAAGGGCGGGGTGGTAGCCTAGTGGTTAAAGCGTTCGCTCGTCACGCCCAAGGCCTGTGTTTGATTCCCCACATGGGTACAATGTGTATAGCCCTGATTTCTGGTGTCCTCTGCCGTGATGTTGCTAGAATATTGCTGAAATCGGCGTAAAACCATACTCACTCACTCACTACTTATTTGAAAGACAAGTCTTTAATAAGACATGGTCAAACATTACATGCAAAAGAGGCATTCTGCAAACATTTCTAGCCAAACCAGTTTCTGAGTTCATTTTTTACTGTATATACATGCTACTTGTGCAAATTGATACCTCTCTTGGGTTGTATGTGAAAAACAAAAAGAGGAAATCATGTGTGAGTGAGTTTAGTTTTACGCTGCTTTTAGCAATAATCCAGCAATATCACAACGGGTGGAAATTATGTGGACAAGTTATTACTTTAATGCTTTACAATGTTTCAACAATACTAACACAGTTAGCATGAACTGACAGCCTGAACTTCATGGCCCAAGTCATACTTGGCTGGTGATAAAAAACAATAATCATTTATCAAACAGATACACTGCACGAGTGTCCTAAATATAACAAGGATTCCAACTTTGTACAAGGCACCAGACTCTGGTTCTCCAAACAATCTAAGATCCCCTTGTTCAAACAGGGAGTTACCTGTCACTGGTATACAGGGCTGTCATGGTATGTACACTTACAACGCATCTCTGTAACTATGAACACAAAGTTTACAATGATGAATTAACTGAGGAACAGTTTTGACCTGATGATAAGCATTGGGGTCTTAATCATATTAGTACCAGTGTGAACACACAGTGTCTTTACGATGGGATGTGATTGAAATCAACTTACATCTTTGAGTTTTGGATTGAACCAGTGTGAAATATCTTTTCCTGCTGACTGAATAATTGGCTTAAGGAGGACATCACCTGAAAAAATATCAATAATGAATCAAAACTGAAACATGTGATTTTATGTCACTTTTTCTGTATATCAACTGTAGTGATGACAACATTGGGAATTATCAATTATCTCCTCAGTGAATTTGTATTTGAGTCTACTTGGCTCTTACTTTACTGCAGGTTGACCCGTGAAGGTCTGGGTCTATTAGAATAGCCCTTCAGCAACCCATGCTTGCTGTAAAAGGCGACTATGCTTGTCGTAAAAGGCGACTAACGGGATCGGGTGGTCAGGCTCGCTGACTTGGTTGACACATGTCATCGGTTCCCCATTGCGCATATCGATGCTCATGCTGTTGACCACTGGATTGTCTGGTCCAGACTCGATTATTTACAGACCGCCGCCATATAGCTGGAATATTGCTGAGTGCGGCGTAAAACTCAACTCACTCACTCACTACTTTACTGCAGGGGCAGATCAAGAGGGGATTGCGGGGGTGAGCACCCCCACCCCCTTTCTCAAAAAAATTCCCTGAGGAGCATTTCCCCCTAACCTTTAGGCTTCATGATTTATGTGCACCCCCCCATTCTCCAAAATCCTGGGTCCGCCCTTGTACTGGCATTACTTTCAGAGGATTACAGTGTTACTATATGGACTTTCTTGTTACTGTTCTGACAAGCGTGTCAAACATGCACCAAAGTAAGAACTTGTCATATAGAATCCAGCCAGACAGCCACACTCCTTTACATTGAACCACTCTGAATCCCTTCTACTGTCATGTATCATCAGCACACACTGCATCATAGATTTTTAACAACATATCATTTCATGATTCATGTCAAGTTATAATTTTCAGGCCCATTATTTGCATACCATCATTTCCCAAGTAACCTATTGTCAAGAAGCTATATTAACTGCCATATTAAAATGATCTTCCAGCTGTCATTTCTCATATAATCTATTTAAGAAAAGTATAATACTTTATGGATAACAACTTGTTTATTTATTATGATGCGACGTTTCGGTATAGCTTCTTATACCGTTGTCAAGCAAGAGTAAAATAATACAGCACAGAACCGACATATATACATGTAACAGGGATTAAGTAAGACAACATGAGGGAATACATCAAAGGGATAAACAACAACAATGGAATAGGTAATCATACAATAACAATGGGAGGAAGCCAATGTTGAGGAGGCGGAACAAGGTATACATAACAGAAGGGATAGGTAATAATACAATAACAATGGGAGGAAGCCAAGGTTGAGGAGGCGGAACAAATTATACATAGCAGATAGGATTAATTAGCAATGATGGCAGAAGTGCTCTGTTCTGCGTTAAACCTCAAGTTCATTCATTCAAATTACTTTACTCTTGCTTGACAACGGTATAAGAAGCCATACCGAAACGTCGCATCATAATAAATATAGAAGTTGTATACTTTTCTATTATCCATCAACTTCCAAAATGCCAGTGAAAGATAATCAATTTAAGATTAAGAAAACTTGATGTTATACCATAGTCATAACATTGATCTATTATTTTGATACACATCCAGATGATATTTTTCATATCTATTCAAGTTGTAGAAATGAATAGAATTTATATTATGAGCAAAAGGATTATGGTTATCAGGTTTGTATTCAACAAACTGGAATAAAATTAGGAAAAAATAATTAAAAACTTATTCACAGCCTTTTTGGAGTAAATATTAATGAGGTGATAATGATGAATTAAGTCACACATTCTCTAAAACACTTGCCTATCATAACACTGATTTACAAATAATAATCTTGATAAAACATATAACTTATTTTAGCAACCCTAAAAGATTCCAGCTCAGATAACCTTTTTCAAATTTTACCTTTCTTAATGCAACTTAACCCTAACCATACCTAAATGATTTTGGAAATTAGCCAGAATACTGCATATATTGAAACAATGAGACTAAGGAATGTGTACTTGTGAACGCTTTCCTTAGTAACAGTTTCCAAGTGTTTTCGTTGGAATTTTAAACTGCCTGGTTGAAAAAAAACAAGAGATTTAGGGCCTGTTACACACCTATTGTCAGATATATGTTTTCATCTTACAACTTTTGTATTTATCTTGAGACTGAAATATATCAAAATACCAGAATACATTTCAAACACTGTCTTATAGGCAGAGTTATCAAATCTTTTGATAGCACATACTTGTGACAACATGGAGTTCACCAAATACTCACAAAAAGCACGCTCAAGACAACAAAACAAAAATATTTCAGGTAATATTTTAGGTGTGGCCTAATATTCTTACCTTTGTATTGTTCACACAGCGGAGTCAAATTGTACACTTTTCCCAAAAATGAGACCCAGAGATCATCTATCGTGTTGTGAATAGACACTTCATTTGGGGTGAAATATTTCGGCCTCGGCATGATGATTGTTTGACAAATGATCTACAAATTCATTGCTTTCAAACTCGGACTAAACGAAAAGCATCCTGTTGCCAATATCAACAAAGCTGCCGGAAGCGGAAGTTGACGAGTGCAATAAATACCTGGGACCTGAAACGAAAATAGAATAATATTTTATTCTTTTTAACTGGTCTTATTTCCTGTGGCAGTACCTTTATCACAAATGATAATACACTACGACGTTGACGTATTCTATTATATAATATAGCATGTGCAAAATGAAACAGCAAGACATTAACATCAATTTCAGTTTATATTCCGTTTCAGTAACAAGTTCGAGGTTGAACTTGCAAAATGGCTGGTGATGATACGGTGAGCTGTTTCGATATATTTATTAGTTATAAAGTTGTGTACACAGTTTCTGTAAGCATTTCGCGAAAGGCTACAACACCGAGCTTATAGTTCCAGTTCCATTTCGTGTAAAAAGAATGTTCTTGTTCAATATTCAAAATGATCTAGCTGATAGAGATGATATTTGTCCAGATTTCGATCACGTGGATGAACTCAATATTTCCAAATTAATCTACATTTCGGGCCGTAAATATTTGGACCATATGACTTTTGGTGTGTATGTAGCATAACCTATAGCCGTGTACAACTGCGTATCTCAGGTACGAACCTGTTGAATTTCTATATCGATTAGCAGATACTATCAAGGGTGATTTGGTTTAGAGATTGCGAATGTAGGAAAGAAACTCACAGGAAAAAAAGTGACAATACAATAAGATATATACTAGTAATATAATATATAATATGAGATATTACTAGTGGGTTGTAAAATGTCTCAATTGTTATAACAGCTTCTGTTTCTGACATGATAACATAATTAATGAGGTAATTGGGGCGTGAAATCAAGAGTGATCAGTGAACGGGGGTCACTCTGTTAATCAAGTAATGAGAGTTGTCTACTGTTCAGTACTGTACTGTGTGCTGGCGATTAGGTGCCTGACTCTGAGGGTGTCGGTTCGAATCCCAGATGGGACTCAACCAAACAAATGTACCAGAATCTGTACTTTACTAAGAAAGTGTAATCACAAAACTAACATATCACCGAGAATGCAACCCTGGTGCGATCATAGTATATTATCACCACCTTATTTACCATATTTACTTATAACTATTTTACCATGTTTACTTATAATCTTTTACTCTACTCAGTAGGGGTGGGTATTGCAGAGAATACTCCAGTTGGAGTTTTAAGTAAAATATGTATCTTATTCCCTTTAATAATCCACCCAGCTACATGGTTTGAATTAAAACTGAAAACGAAGCAATATGTTGACATAAAAGGCATTCATCAACTGGTGTTAGCTTTAATGTTCTATAATGCTCTTTATATATTGTAAACTAATATTGAAAACTCAGAACACCTCTGGGCCTGTTCAATGACATTGTTTGTTGAGGCAATAGATCACCAGGATCACTAATAGGAGCTCATACACATTTGAGGTGAGGTGAGGTGAAATTGGGTTTAACGTCGTGCTTGAGAATATTTTGCTCATATGACGACATGCATGCGTGTGTATGTGTATGTGCTGCTGCTTGTACTAGCCCAGACTTAAGCTGGTTTTATAGTGCTAGCTCACTGAGATACCATGCTGCAGTGAAGCATGAATACCCCACTCAGACACAGTATACCGACTCCGAGCCGACCAGTCCTTGTTGTACCCATTTATGCCGAGCGCCAGGCAGGGACCAACAAGTACCATATTTTAATGTCTTTTGGTATGATGAGGTCGGGGGATCGAACCCGCGACCTTCCGCTCTCCGGGCGGACGCTCTAACCACTACACCACGGAGGCGGTCATACACATGTGATGACCTATGAAGTGAACTGTAGGGATCCCTTGGTTGGTCCTATTGCCGACATCGTAAACTGTTCTCTCGACTCAGGAACCGTTCCTTCACCCTTCAAACGATGCCTTGTTACTCCTCTCCTAAACAAAGTGACTTTAGATGAAACACTGCTGAACAATTTTCGCCTGGTATCCAATCTCCCATTTCTTCGAAAGAATTGTATCCATACGTCTCAGGGAGCATCTTAATCATAACAGCCTTGGAGAAGACTTCCAGTCTGCCTATAAGAGGAAACACAGTGCCGAATCTGCACTACTGTCTGTCCAAAATGACATCATGCATTCACTGGACAATCAGGAAACAGTTCTCTTAGTTCTGCTACACCTCTCTGCAGCTTTCGATACTGTGGACCATGACATATTGCTTCAGAGATTAGAACAAACAGTTGGTATTGGCGGCTCTGCACTTCAGTGGTTCAGATCGTACCTCACTGACAGATACCTTCAAGTTCAAATTTGATGGATCCAGATCGCAAGAATGTGAGCTGCGCTGTGGTGTCCCACAAGGCTTTGTCCTTGGTCTTCTCTTTTTAACATTTACATACTGCCTATAGGAAATATCATCCAACAACACAATGTCAACTTCCATAGATACGCAGACGACAACCAGTTGTATATAGGAACAAAACCTACCCAAGTAGTTGCTTCCAACTTACAGCTTGAACATTGTATCAGTGATATTCAACAGTGGATGACAGCAAATGCACTCAAATTCAACAGTTCCAAAACAGAATTCATGACTATTAGCTCTGGAAAATTACAGTCCAAAATCCCAGATGTAACTGTTGAGATTAGTGGCAGTCATATCAAGCCAAGCAATGACGTGCGAAATCTGGGGGTCAAGTTTGACAGAAACATGACGATGAAACCATGTCAAGTCAACATGCAGATCTTCCTTCTTCCAGCTATTTAAGATCAGCAAGATCAAGAAATACCTTGACAATGACAGTCTGAGGGCAGTTATCCAAGCCTGTGTCACATTACGTCTAGACAATGGAAATGCCCTCCTCAATGGGACTACTACCGCTAACGTCAAACTACTGCAACAAGTGCAGAACAGTGCTGCGAGGATGCTGACTGGTACCAACAGAACTGACCATATCACCCCTGTCCTGAAATCACTCCACTGGCTACCCATAGGGCACCGCATCACTTTCAAGACTTTTTCTATCACATATTTAGCACTAAATGATGAAAACTCCCCAACTTATATTAAGGACATGTTACATCACTACCAACCCACAAGAGCTTAAGATCAGCTGATGATAAACTACTGCATGTTCCTAAAACTAAAACAAAGATGGGCGAAGTGGGTCTATGCTTTGCAGCTCCAAAACTGTGGAATGTTCTACCACTGGAAATCAGACTCTTTTCTAACTCATCTGAAGACATATTTTTTTTCCACTCACTTCAACAAGCGCGCCGTTGAGCAGTCATGTCCAATCTGGAAACCAGGTGCTATACAAATCAGTTATCATTCATTCATTCATTCATTCAGTAAGCCTTGCTGCTATGATGACGTCACAAGTGATTGTTTTGCTAGTACAGTTTGCAATAATTATGTCCAGTTGTAATTCGTTTGGTGCTGAATTCTACACATAATGAAGGCTGGGCATAATAAAGGAAAGCACTCTCAAAGATGTTTTAACATTTAACATTTTCGAGGAGTGTTACCATGGTTATTAAGCAAATGCATGCTACATATGCCATCTTTTGTTGTTTGTGTAAAAGAATTAGTTTATTAGATACACAAGAAAATATGTATTTTCATGTGAATGTAATGGTCCATATTCGATTATGTACAGACTGCTGCCATGTAGCTGGAATATGGCTGAATGCAGCATTAAACAACAACAACCAACAAACAACTGACAGATTGGTCTAGAGAAGGTCAGGGAGCACCTGTAGGAGCAGTACACTAAATATTGCGAATACCATATATATTATACAATGTATATGCTTGATGCAATTATTTAATTTACAGTGAAGTACTCTTCAGTACTTCATATCTGTAATGGAAGAGTACTTCATATCTGTAATGGAAGTCTCATTGTACACAAGCTGTCTTATGTCCTGGTCACATGGCTTTCACAACAGACACTAAACGTTTTTTAACTTAGACAGTACTGCTCAGACACTTCAATAAAGTTTGCAATAAAGGGGGACTTTATTTTTTTTTTCTCTAAAAAATGCATGGCATATGTGGTTGATTCCAACGAAAAGTGTACACAGCATGTTTGGGCCCATAACATTTTAGCATTACTACCTTCATTTATTTCAGGGTGCCCATCACATCGGCACAAGTGAGACAATTCGGGCCATATATAACATGACTATTTTTAATTAAAAATTAGGCTTACGGGAGACAAAAACAGGTCATTTTTATTCATTTTGACGTTTATTTTACAACTGTTTTGTTGAAAACATGTTGTCTGTTAAATACTAGTCAAACGGGATGAACAGAAGTTTATTAATCTGATTGCCAAATATTTCATGAATAAATCCCCTGAAATGATTTTGTCTAGGGCTTACTGTGTAATTTTGGTAATTTGTTTTCAAGAGGTATTTTTTGGCGTTACCTACGAATACAGTTTTCAATGACTTTGTCAATTTATGTAAATGCAACAGAAGGTTATGTTTTGTATTACTTTTTACAGCATTAATATGTAAAGTACTCAAATGCAATGGCGTTACATAATATTTCTTGCAGGTAATAATCTAAAATATGTTAGAAAATCAAAGTCTGATTTGGTAAAAAAAATCACGTTACCTACAAATACCATTAAATATGTTGCTGTTTCCACAAATGAACACATTAGTGAATGATATCCTAAGTTCAAAGGGCTACAATATATACGAGTGCTACATTTGAACATTTTCTGTGCTGTTTTTACGAAGATATCACACAAAATAACCTGTATTCGTAAGTAAATTTTAACTCCCAAATCTTACCTACAAGTACCAAAAACTGATCACATTCAAATAGATTGGTGGAATGACAACACGTGACGTGTTCCATTTGGAAGTCATCATAGATGAGACCAGACAACATATTAGTGATTAGTAAGTGTATTTCACATTTTCTGCAAGAATGTTATATAAATAAACCCATGCCACAATATACATAGGATGCATATGACACCTGTTACAACTAACCAACTTTAATTTTAGTGAGGTTTTAAGTCTTACTACTGTAAAAGAGGCCTCAGACAGCAAGTGAAATGGACATGGGGGATCAAATTGGTAAGACATGGTGTCCAGCTGGGATTTCACCGGTTGTGGCTCACAGCATTTGTAGGTAACATGTATTTGTTGTTAACAAAATGAAATAGAGAATGCTGCTGTAACATAATTTATACTGAAGACAATTATTGCAGATCATAAAAACCGATTAGGTATGCAGGTATTAATAGATTGAAATGGTTCCTCGGAATTCCAAATGGCTACATAACTGAGCGTTCAATAAAAATGTTCTATTCAGGGATGCACTGCAGTTTAGTGGTTTAGACTTTATTATAGTGATATATAATGAAATGTCAGAAAACAAGTTGATCTTTGTGATAAAAGTAAAAGTTTGCATGATATCACGGGATAAACGGTAGATTCATAGGTAACATGTGTATTCGTTGGTAACATTCCGAATTTGTAGGTAATACAGTCAGCATGGTCAGTGTGTTTGAAGTTGTATGTCATGTTCAGGGCTGTCACTGATGCACTTGCGACCATAGGAGAATTGAGACTGTAGTAGAAGTTAGTTGCATGGGTTTAGTAATTAGATATGTCAAAGGTATGTCTTGTTCAGGGCTGTCACCGATGCACTTGCGACCATAGGAGAATTGAGACTGTAGTAGAAGTTAGTTGCATGGGTTTAGTAATTAGATATGTCAAAGGTATGTCTTATTCGTAGGTAACTCGTTTTTGTAGTTAAAACTTTCTGTATATGTCTATCTAATAGCAATTGTCATAGCAAAATATTGGTAATTAAAGCTGAGTTATAGTTCAGTAAGACGTATAATGTATTGATTGTTTTAGTGACATGTTTATCTGTACATAATTTTATATGGTATATGGTAATAGTTCAAGCGGTTTGAACATTTGTGATGTGCTTTCTTTGAATACAAATGTTAGTTGAAACATTTGGTAAATAAAATTACAGATGTAATGATTTTAGTTCAATTTCTATACTTCTCATCAACAGTTTAGACTCACTAGTGTAAATATAACCACTTACTTCAGGCGATTGTTTTAAACTAAATTTTGCAAAATATTCCATACTGTGAACTGTTTACACATGAACTGATGTATTGTAAAACAAATTCGTAACGTTGAAAAGATTATTGTCATGAGTTCAATAAATGATAAAAATCAGTGAAAATTGGCAAATTCTGAACAAAACTTTACACCAAAATGCAGCTGTTCACATGTACGATATTTGCACATTCAATTTGATGCATGTTCCTCGTCATTTGCATAAGGTTTGCAGTTGGTTCCCCCAAGTTATTGGAGATAGTGGTGGTCCGATTAATTGAAATAATCGAAGATTGGTCGCAGTGACCAAAACGACCAAGCAATCGAACATGTTCCCAAAGGTTGGTTTTGTCTGTGTCACTAAATTTACATTTCATAAGCTCTACAGTTCGTTCCAAGTCATGATTGAATTTATCTAAAAGACTTCAGGAAAATTAAGTTCCTAACATACCAGTCCTCCTTTATAGATGTGACATTTGCAAATGCATTTTGTGCAATTTGAAAAAACAACTTCAAAGAACTACATATTTTTTTTTAGTTTTTTGTGCATTAACAAAGATAACAAGAACATTTGATAAATGTCGCTAACCAATTATTCTCGATGATTGATCGGTTGAATAGACCAATCATCAATTATGAGATTTTAACCAATTCCCAACACTAATATACACACATACATATCATATAGTGAGTGTTTCTAGTGAGTCTAAACTTTTGATAAGAAGTAAATTTCCATCAGTTAAAATGACATTGCTATTTTCCGACAAACACTGAGACAAAACAAAGAGAAAGCCTTAAACTGATTGTAAACAATCTTCATTCACATGTCCTATGCATTTAGAAAACAATTTCCAAACTGTTCGATGTTTTAATAAACCAGCTTCGATTTAGTTTGACATATATAAACATTTATGAAATGCAAGGAATTATGTGATATTTTTTACCTACATATTTTTTATCATCCATCCAAAATTTAGTTATTGGTGCATTTTCAAATTTGTTGTACTTACCGAAAGTTCCACCCATTGTCTCTCAGATGAATAAGATAGATATGTAAAGATGATTTGCTTGTGAAAAGAACACTAAGTGGTGCTATGTCACTTACATCAAACAATGGTACCAAAATGGTTCTATTTTCGTAAAGCTTGAGGTTATAAAACATGAAAGAAACCATGATATGGCTTCAGAGTTTCTATAGTCATTAACATATTGTGCATGCAGAACAACAGTGAATATAGATGTTAGGCAACATACAATCCATCTAATCACAGGATATACAAGGTATGATGTTGGTATTTGTAGGCAATTTAGAAAATGAGCCTTCAACTTCACTGATCCACCAACTTGTCACTTTTAGAGATTAGTGATGGCAACTGATTTTCATAAGAGGCAAATATGTTGACTTTACATTGGTAAAAAGAATTACATGGCGCAAGCAATTCTATTTTGGATACCTTATACCCAGCTGTGTACACTTTTCGTTGGAATCGACCATGTAATTTTCTTTCAGTAGCAAAGGACTTTGATTATTTCTTTTGAAAATCCACACACCCCTGAAATTCAAGTAGTTGTTTCTTTGTCTGTGAGAATATGTATAGATTCTGGTATAAGCAAATATCTTGTTATCATATGTATGCTTTAATTGACATGTTTACTGTACACCACAGCATGGCGTTAAATCAATATGAAGGCATGTTACACACAGCATCTGTTAACAGAACACAAACTTAAATCAATCTGATTATTGACAGGTTGGATCCTGCCGAAGGCTACTGTGTAAGTGTGTCCGGAAATGAAAAATTCAAAACCTAAATCAATGTTTGAATGAACTTACCATACATTGTAGAATTCACTTTTTTTTTTGTGGAATCACAGGATCCCCCTATGGGTTAAATACCAGAGGAAATGGTTGATCGCCCATATGGTTGAATGTACAGCTACCTTATACCTGTTATGTGGAAGGCTTCACTGACTTTGGCAAAACACAGTGTAGAGTCTAGTTTAACTTTAATGCGGAATTGTATTATAATAGCTCTATTAAACAGCAGTAGAATGTGACATAACTTTCATTTTCTTATGTTCTGCCAAATAACTAAGATACTCAGATTATACTTTTCCAACAAATGTTTTTTTGTTTTGAGACTGTTTACCTTTGTGTATCCGGCAAAGCAAATTGTAATTTACTAGACAGTGCTCATATTATTACAATTAGTGTTGTTGCCCTTCACAGTATCCTGAACCTTGAAGAATATTCACAAAATATTATAACTGAATCTCCTATTGACTGAAAATACATTTTGTAAATGGAGTAATTTACATCCTGGTTCAGCAAACATTTGAAAGTATGGCATTAAGTGTGTTAGACAGTCGGTATCATCATCATCATCACCACCATCTTGTACCCTGCCCTGACATAACACTTAACTTACCCAAAACCCTGTTCATGGGAGCAATGTCGAGGAGACTCTGGGTCTTACCTTGACCTACAAAACCCCTGTTACTATTTTGAAGGTGAATAAATATGAGGGCCTAATGATGTATTGGAATGGTGTCATGTAGTTAACCGTGGAATTTCAAAACTTTATTTACAGAAACCTTAAGTTTCTTGTCATGAATTTCTTTGCAATGAATATTTTATGTACCACTCAGGATTCACCATGTCTTCTTTCTGTATGTTCTATTCATTTGTGCCCTGAACATAGTCGTATGATTATTTTTTTGTCTCGCCATATTTCCTTGGCTGTGACATTGCTTAAATAAAATGATATAACGCTTTAATAAAGATTTAGAAATTATGGGTAATAAGAAAAGTATTGGTAGCATGATAAAATCATGATGACCCGTATGTTAACTGTAAATATGCTCCAGATCAGGTCTGTTGACCTGAAAGTATGTAACACAGATTGTATAGTGGTAAATTTCTCTATCATCTTTGTTGGTTATATTGCTTTTGCTTTCAGAGCGTCGTGTCTGTGACAAAGACAGAAGGTCGGCAGAAACTTGAGCGATGGTTGAATAAAAGCATGAAAATTAAGATGACAGATGGAAGAACACTAATAGGTAGGGTTAAGTGAGCGAGTTTGGTTTTACGACGCTTTTAGCAATATTCCATCAACATCACGGCAGGGGACACCAGAAATGGGCTTCACACATTGTGCCCATGTGGGGAATCGAACCCTCGTCTTCGGCGTGACGAGCCAACGCTTTGCCCACTTGGCTACCCCACCCGCCCCCGGTAGGGTTAAGTGTCATCCTCTGTCATAATACAATGAACAATTCAGGCGGAAAAACAGACTCCTATTCAATGGTCAAGATGCAAGGAGCAATACACATGGTACATATCTGTGATATGGAAATCCCAAATGTATGTTTACAAGTTTTATTTGTAGTCAGATATAGGATATTGGACAAATTATCAAAGCCAAACATTTCAAAAGAGGCTTTGGCAATGGACTGCTATGATTTGATAGTAAGGTGGTCACTTATCATTATCAAGACAGATTAATCTTGTCAATATACTCAAAATGTGTCAAATAGTATATTTTGTTATGATTTGACTGAATATATTAAATAGAAAATTACCTGGTGATGTTTTTGCCTCCAAGTGGATTCATTGCAGCCCTATCAGGGGGTGGAAATAACCCATTGCCCGACGCCCAAGTCCAGTGTTTTTTTCTGTCGGGCAAGCAAATTTGTATATCACACTGTACCGTTGTACAGTTGATATTCCAATGTTAATTATGTTGTTTATTTTAAAAATCAACAAGAAAATGGCCGGTATAGTGGAAAAATTATCAGGGCAAGTGATTTTACATGTGCCACTGTACCGGAGTACACTAGCAATTTTAAAGTTATTTCCACCCCTGCCTATTATACATGCACTGTCAACAGTAACATAATGCAGAGTCTGTCAGTACCAGATTCATACATAATATGTAGGCAATACAATCATTGACAAGAGTTTCCCAGACATCATATGCAGTGATACAAGATATGTAATTCATCTTCTGTGCTGTCATTACAATGAAGGGGCGGTGGGGTAGCCTAGTGGTTAAGGCGTTCGCTCGTCACGCCGAAGACCCGGGTTCGATACCCCACATGGGTACAATGTGTTAAGCCCATTTCTGGTGTCCCCCGCCGTGATATTGCTGGAATATTGCTAAAAGCGGCGTAAAACCAAACTCACTCACTCACTCATTACAATGAACACAGGTGAACAAAGGTATAAGTTCACATCCTTGTCAAAGTCCTTGAACTGTTTACATATGATACTGCGAGTTGTCCCCCCTGAATTAGCTGACATTCTACTGTTTGGAAAAGCTCTACGCAGACCTCAAACCCAATTCATTCATTTCTTATAGACATACCAGTCTATGTATTGTATTATATTTTATTTTTTCAGGTGTGTTTCTATGCACTGATCGTGACAGAAATGTCATCCTTGGATCATGTGAAGAGTATCTTCGTTCCCCAGGTAATGATGGTAACAGAATACCAAAACAGACTGATGAGAGTGAGTGAGGGAGTTTAGTTTTATGCTGCACTCGGCAATATTCCAGCTATATGGCGGCAGTCTGTAAATAATCGAGACAAGCTAGTGACAGCATGAACATCGATCTATGCAATTTAGATACGATGACATGTAAGATGGGTTACTGACAGAGGTACACATAACCTGCGTATTTGCGTAAATTACGCAAATATTTATGTGAAAACTCAATTCTTATTAAGTCGTTTGCGTACAAGTACGCTTGAATTTTTGTAAATACTCCATAAATGGTTCTATTTCAGGTACTTTGCAAATATGCAGTCTTTCTTATCATTTCTCATATTACACATTAATAGAAATGACAAACACTAACATTTAAACTTTAATATAGTTTCAAAATTAATGGAAAATGGCAAAGTACCCAATTGAGTTTGAGTGCGGTGAGTACAATTCATTTGGTTACTCAAATGGAGATTAGGATACCCAATTAAGATGAATACAAGCGAGTACAGAACTCAGTGGACCAAAAAGTTATCTGTAGCTCTGGTTACTTCAGATCAAGTCTAACCCGGATGTTCACAAGTCTGACGAAAAGGGTTGGAAGTTATGAAAAAAGGGAACTGTTGATATGTGTTAATGTCTAATTGTAGGGACATGTCATGTGTTATGGGGTGGGACTGTAAGAATGGTAATATGACTATCATATATTGTTCATAAATGTCCTTTTAGAAAACATCTTATATGCACGGTGAAACTGGTATTTTAGGTTAAAATGAATTATATACCAACTGTCAACATTGTAACAAATCATGTACTCAGGAAAACAGTTCAATTAATTTTCCATCATCATTTCAGATGATGATGACAGCCGAGAGGAGCCAAGGATTCTGGGATTAGCAATGGTGCCAGGACACCACATTGTCAGCATCCATATTGACGAGGAACATTGTGTTATGTGAACTCAGTCGAATATACATACTCCATCAGTCATAGGAGACACAATATTGTCAGCATCCATATTGACGAGGAACATTGTGTTATGTGAACTCAGTCCAATACACATATTCTCCATCAGTTAAAGGGGAAACCACATTGTCAGCATTCACATAGACGGGGAACATTGCGTTATGTGAACTCAGTCCAATACACATATTCTCCATCAGTCATGAGACACAACATTGTCAGCATCCATATAGACGGGGAACATTGTGTTATGTGAACTCAGTCCAAGACACATTCTCCATCAGTCATATGAGAACCTTCTACCAAGGAATTTGGGTGGAAGGATCAGTTTGTAACAGAGATTTACTAGTCTCATAGGATCAACTGTTTAATGTACGAGGTGGGCCTCGGAATAAGGATCCGGTTTTCCTTCTAGAGTTTGACGCAAGTTATTTCTTTACAACATGCAGTCAACAAAGTCACCGACAGACTGCCCGATCCATTACCTCTTCTGACAAGCAGAGGTTGCTGCAGACCTAGCTCATCAAAGTCCGTAAGGAAGAAATAGAAATTAACACCTGCCCTCAAACCCAAGGCTAGAAGGAATAACCTCTGGCTAACATCATCATTATGCTTCTGCTTCTTTCCCCCATCAACTTGTTCTGCTGGACACTACGCAGTTTTTCTCACAATGAATAATGTACATACATGTATTTTCCAAGTTTCCAACGATAAACATTCACTACAAACTTCTGAGTCTTTCTCATAATGTTCAACTTTCAGATTTTTCAGTTCACACATTCTTTAAGGACCAATAACCTTTTCAGGAATAGCAGAAAAACATGTTAAAGTATCCTCAAGGAACTATAGTAGCTGATCATATCCATGAAGATCCGGGTTAGAACTGATCTTCAGCAACCCATGCTTGTCGTAAGATGCAACTAACATAATCAGGTGACTAGGATCGCTGACATGGTTCGTGCATGTCATTGCTTCCCAACTGCACAGATCAATGCTCATGATGTCGATCACTGGATTATCTGGTCCAAACTTGATTATTACAGACTGCTGCCATATTGCGGGAATATCGCTGTGTAAAGTGTTAAGCAACGAAGAAACAGGCAAACTTTTGGAGATTAGACCACAGACTTGTGACCCTGAAGACCTGTGTTTGATTGTTCATGGATTCTTGATGTTCGCTGGTGTCCAGTGACTGCCATAATGCTGAAACAACATAACACAAATTCAATCTGTGTTCATCATATACCCTGTAAAAACAGTATCTTGTACATTTACAATATTTAATCTCATGGTTTGTGTCATTTTTTATGCCATCAATTATGTGCAAATATATATATAGTTAGAAATTGTTTTGAGTTATTTATTGTCACTGACGTTAGGGATCTGCTCGTTAGCATTGTCCTAAAAGGCCACAAACAGGATCGGGTGGTCAGGCTCCCTGACTTGGTTGACACATGTCATCGTATCCCAATTGCGTAGATCGATGCTCATGCTGTTGACCATTGGATTGTCTGGTCTAGACTCGATTATTTACAGACCGCCATATAGCTGGAATATTGCTCAGTGCGGCGTAAAACAATCAGTCAATCAATCAACCAATCATTCATTCAATTAATTAATCAATCAATCATTAGCATTGTACTTAATTTGGAGTATCAGCATCATTAATGTTTTGCTTGCAACAGTAAGGTTTATATTTTGAAATTCACCGGACACCACAGAATGATGTCACTGACCATACGCCTCTATCTCAGTAGGATATGTGGCTGAATACTTGTCAGATCAAAGATGTATTTCTTGGTCCAAATCGGCCCTGAAGATCCCCATCTTCACCATCAGCTGTGGATCATAAATTGGGTGAGATTGACATATCTATCAGTCATTACTGAACCGCTCATGTTCGTGATTGTAACATCTGGTAATATTTAACTGCTGCTGATTTATCGACAACAGGTCGTTACCAGGGCGGTTGACATTTTCTTCATTTTCGCAAAATCAGCCATATCTGTCATGTCGCATCGGATGGCAATGCAATCGAGAGTTTCGATGAAAGGTTGCATGGCATCCTTAATAACCCTTGCCGTTCTCCATACCTTCACAAATCTCGGCCTGTGGGCCATGCTTGCAGATAGAAGGATACGCAAACGCTTTACTAGTTTTCACGCCAATATCATTGTTAGAAAGAAACCAGCGAGAGCTTCAACTCTATATCCGGCGAATTACGACACTGGGTTCCTTCTCCATGATAAGGACTCTTGTTCTGAAGTGAGGGACATCTCGCTGCTGTATGTGGTGAACAGTGCACCTGGTCACTTTAAACAGAGACAGATACTCAGAACGACATTCGCGGACGGACTTTTCTTCTTGCCACAGGTCGTGAAGACAATATTTTTGATAGGACGTTCATCCAACACAAGCATAGGCAATGAGATAATATCGGAGTTCGCTGAGCACAAAGACATCGTTCAAGGTGATTTCGTAGACAGCTACCGTAATTTAACACTGAAACTTACAATGGCGTTCAAATGGATGTCAATGTACTGCCGGAATGTGAAACTGGTGGGTAAAATTGACGATGATACGTTTGTTAATACGTACAAGCTCCTGGATATGGAACGAGACCTAAAGGGACGGGGTCGGGTCCACTGTGACATCGCAACCGGGTCTGTGGGGAAGATTCAGCGAGGTCATTCAAAGTGGGCTGTCCATGTTGACGTGTTTAAATTCTATCGTTATTTCCCCTGGACGTACTGTGGAGGATACGCTGTTTTCGTCCCCGGGTCTCTTGTCCCCAATTTCTATAAAGCGTCTCTCATATCCCCCTTTCTTTGGATTGATGACGTGTACTTGACTGGAATCGTCGCATCACGGCTGAACATTGTTGACCACCACCAGGGGGCGTTCATGAGAAGAGATTTTAAAATGCAACCAAAGAAGGGACTGGAATGTTTTCGAAAACCTGACTGCCCTGTATTAGCAACGACTGTTGCTAGTGAATATATTCCTGAGTTTTGGAGACTTGTACAGGAAGCATGGAAGGTGAAATAAAATCCTCACATTTTGTGATTAGTTTAGTGAAAGTTTGCATCAGTAAGGAACAACTTCATACTGCCGTGACTGCATTTTGGGTTCTCCTTCCGAGAGTAACTCGGGTTTGGGATCCAAAGGGACCACGCGACCTATTGCGGCTCCGTGGCTCCGGGAGAGTCTAGACATTACTGTGCTATATTCATGTACGAGTGTGGGACCGCTGTTCCTAACTATCAACTCATGTACTGTCGCCCATTCAATCAATGAGAAGATCAACACATATTCTATACACATAAAGCATTTCCTGTGCCTCAATCTCTTTCTTCAATGTAAAGTGACTCGGACGTCGACACCAGACTGAACAAGCTCGTCCCGGGTTGGGGAACGAGATGACCAAAGTTCAAGTCGATCGGGTAAGTTTGAGTAAGTGAGTTTAGTTTTACTCCGGTTTTGTTTGCAATATTCCAGCAATATCACAGCGGGGGGACACCAAAAATGGGCTTCACGCATTGTACCCATGTGGGAATCGAACCCGGGTCTTCGGCATGACGAGCGAACGCTTTAACCACAAGACTACACTACCCCGCCACTAACTTAAGTGTTGACTGTATCTTCTAAAGTGTCTGAATCTGACAGACCTCTTTCTTATGTCTTGATACAACGTTTTCTTTCGATTGGAGGTGAGGTGAAATTGGGTTTAACGTCGTACTTGGGAATATTTCACTCATATGACGACGTGCATGCGTGTGTATGTGCGGCTGCTTGTACTAGCCCAGACTGAAGCTGGTTTTATAGTGCTAGCCCACTGAGATACCATGCCGCAGTGAAGCATGAATACCCCACTCAGACACATTATACTGACTCCGAGCCGACCAGTCCTTGTTGTACCCATTAATGCCAAGCGCCAGGCAGGGACCAACAAGTACCATATTTTAACGTCTTTTGGTATGACGCGGTCGGGGATCGAACCCGCGACCTTCCGCTCTCCGGCTGGACGCTCTAACCACTACACCACGGAGGCGGTCCTTTCGATTGGAAATACGCCATTCATGAACTTATGTTTTCCTTGTGATGGGAGGATTACTGAAATCCGCTCACCTGTGATTCGCCAATACCTAATAACCTTAAAGGTCTTATGTATTCTGTTTCTTTCGATGTCTGCCTCTCTTTATTTATCATTCAGTCACAGGGTAACTGGGGAGATATATCAGCATATATACTCATGTGGAAAACAAACGCAAAATTCAAAGCTATATTTTAATTAATCGCCCACGTATTACACGCCAACTATTCCTTATGGGTAACACCTGTCGAGAGCAGAAACTGGATACTGGTTGGTTATCTCCAGGTGAAGAAGACCTAGCAAACAGAAACGCAAGCAAATCAGCATAGAACAATGCACGAATACATTTGTTATAATCATTTACTAATATATATTGACGTCACTATCAATTTGTCTGGGTAACCATAGTAACAAGCGTGAAGAGTGTATCGAGTGAGTTAAGTTTTTCGCAGTTTTTAGCAATACATGTATCACGGTAGGGGACACCAGGACACCAATGGGCTTCACACATTGTACGGAATCGAAGCCGGGTCTTCGGCGTGACGAGCGAACGCTTTAACCACTCGGCTACCCCACCGCCTCGTGAAGAGTGCAAATCTGCGTACTTTGCAGAATGACACAGTGACCAAACCAGTTTGAATGTGTTTACCTCCATCAGCGCAAAAAAACAATAACATCAAGTCAATTCTTGTAAGTGAACGAGAGCGGAAGGTCGCGGGTTCGATCCCCGACCGCGCCATACCAAAAGACGTTAAAATATGGTACTTGTTGGTCCCTGCCTGGCGCTCGGCATTAATGGGTACAACAAGGACTGGTGGGCTCGGAGTCAGTATAATGTGTCTGAGTGGGGTATTCATTCTTCACTGCGGCATGGTATCTCAGTGGGCTAGCACTATAAAACCAGCTTCAGTCTGGGCTAGTACAAGCAGCCGCACATACACATACACAGGCATGCACGTCGTCATATGAGCGAAATATTCTCAAGTACTACGTTAAACCCAATTTCACCTCACCTCAGCTTGTAAGTGAGCAACTTAGCAGACCTATTAGTAATGTCATTACCACATGTGAAATCAGTTCCATATCTAGCACTTGCATCATGTCAGTCTTTCTCTCTCACCAAGACGTGATAGGTACTGTGTAGAGCGGTGCTGGTCCGTTACCATGAAACGTTACCTGCAATAGCAGACTGGAATCCTGCGTTGTAGTCACACGCCACCTCGTTCTGGATGTAGTCCGTTCTGTCGTCCACGTAGTTGTCGTTGCTCCCCGGACCCCCTACCAGGGCCCCTTTAAGAACGTGTGCGTTAGGGGCGGGGTCATTGAAGGTGCTCCAGTCACAGACAGCTGGGGCAGGGTGACAGGCGCTGAAGGGGAGAAGTTGAACACGTTAGGACTGGTCCTTTTGAACAGGGAGGGGAGGGCATGACAAAATGACTTAGATTTATATATATATATTTAATGTTAATTTGACTATTCTTTGGAAATTGTTCATTTAGATAGGCGTTCAGATATGTCAGTTGAGGTACAGTCCGTTTGATTTCATTTGAGATCGATGAATTACTCACTAACACAAAATCTAATAATTGCAACAAAACCAAATTTTGCACAGTCACATGAAATCGACAGACCAACTCTGATGATTAGTCTCATAATTTTAGACAGTCGAATGTGACTGTGCAAAATGTGGTTTTGTTGCAATTATTAGATTTTGTGTTTTTTTTAGTGAGTAATTCATCGGTCTCAAATGAAGTCAAACGGACTATAGTAGTAGCTAGTTAAACTTCAACGTCGCACCGATCGTCAAGGTGTATCAAACATGTATCTGAATGTTGTTTGATGCCGCAGTGAAATTCAAGCTATTTTACGTGCTTATGCCTGTTCGTTTGAATGTACGTCTGTGTAGGGTGATCAGTGCTTTACCTGTTCTGATGGTGCGGCCTGACCGGGTAGTTGCTGCCGTAGCCGATTACGTAGCTCCTTCCAGCGTTGTTCTCACCCAGCATGTAGCCGATCTGACCCAAAGCCCATGACCTGTATGTCTGAGGTTCGAACCCCGCATCGGCAGCCAGCAGCGCCAACATGGCCACATTGGCTGTCAATAGTAGTGAGGTGTTAGTATCACTAGTTCATAGGGATCAGTATTATGGTCTATTGACGAGAAACTCATCATCACACCAGGTGTTTCATGAGCGTACGTGACCCTGAAAGTACAGGTAGTTCTCGCTACAAGAAATACGATATTCTGAAAATAGTATTTTCTTTGAACTGCTGGATTGCCATTCCTGGATGCCTGTAGTACTACGCGTTCGTACCGGTTTTTGTAAATGCTTCACAAATTTGACAAATAGGTAAACATTGTATCGGTTTCCATATTGAAATAGTCATTTACGTTTGCAGGTAATAACAATAATGTTAAAATTTGTATAGCACCTGAATCCAAGGTTTGCTCTAAGGCGATTGGTCGAATGCTCTGTTGAAAGGAACTGTTTTTAGTTCTTTTTTGAATGGAATGATGTCTGACAAATTTTTCAAATTTTCAGGTAGTTGGTTCCATAACAGAGGACCTGCTTTGGTAAAAGCTCGAAGTTAACCTACATTCAAGAGACATTTCGTTGATTTCATCTCAATGCAGTCGAATGCAGTGTTTGAATGATAAGGATAGCGATGTTGGAAATAGCCCTGACAATGTATTAACATTTAAATGTACAGAACTTTATGGCGTTGTTTAAGGATGATTTTACCTGTATATCGGAGGGGCCCCCACTCAAGGCGCCAGGCGAGACCGCACGGGGTGTAGGAGACTGACCCGCCGGGGAGGAATGACGTCATAAAGGTCTTGACGGCGTTACCATACTTTTCCTCGCTCGTCTCCTGGTACATCGCAAGCTGTAAAATACAACGTGACATTACAACGTGTACAACATACATACACTACAGCTTGGACAGCTCATGAGTAATCACTACAGGCTTCGGGGCGGTTAGTCTTGTGGTTAAAGCCTTAACTCGTAACGCCGAAGACCCGGGTTCGATTCCCCACAATGTGTGAAGCACATTTTTGGTGTCCCCCGCCGTGATATTGATGGAATATTGCCAAAGCGGGACAAAGCCACGCTGACTTACTCATTACCGGACACGTATTTGAGTGTAATGATCTTGAACTCCATGGTAAACCCCATTTCAGCTCACCCACGTTCAAACCCGAGACTCTCTCTAAAACATCGAAATCTTTCTAGGATATTTAAAGGGCGGTCAGTAACCATTCCAGTACTCACATTAACGATTGCAGTCTTATCTGACCAGTCGAGAGCCCATGGAGTGGACAGCGTCGAGGCATGTGTGGTGGCATCCGTGAGGTAGTGTTGTTGACGGGTAGCCTTGTACAGCCAGATGGCGGCCAGGGCAAGCTCGTCGTTGTAGTCGTTGGACCTGGTCAGCGTATATAGAATTATTTGGCTCACGAATTTCCCGTTTAAACATGTTAAGAAATTATCTGAGTAAAATCATTGTTTTTGCAATTGTTTTATATAATATACATCCTTCACGTAAATCAGCGAAAGAAACTAATTTCAGGTAAGTAATCCGTTGCTTTCAACTGTTTTCAGTTAAATCACAGTATGTCATTCATCACAACTCCGACAGCGACGCAGCACCCAGACGCTAACACTCCGTTGAGACCATCCGAAATGAAGACGGTCCTGCAACCTATGACTCAGTATGGTGCAATTCCAATCTCATTAAAATGAGGTCCTGTTCGGATTAAAATACCTCTGGGATATATGACCATCCATTACTGGACTATTCCGGAAGCTTAAGCTGCGCTTCTTGGCAATATATCATGGCTCTGACCGTAGCGAAAATGAGCAGAAATTCATATTCCCATGCAAAAAGAAACATATCCTTAAGAATGGGAGCAGAATAGGTGCCCATTGGGCTGCACACTTCCTGCCTAAATGTCTTATCCCCAAAACATCACATAGATAGCATCAATAACGAAGTCCCCCATTTCATATAATCTTGACATGCAATTGGAGACTGACAAATTGTTCTGAAATTTGCAACATGGCTCCGTGGTTCAGGCTAACCATGACCTTGCTTACCCGTAGGGACCACGAGAGTCAGTGACTGTGTCAGTGTAGATCCCAACGTATGTCGTTGCGAAGTCGTACAGCTCTGCAGCAGCCGTCAGCAGTCGACTGGCGTAGGCGGGATCTGTACAAAGGGGAGGGGTAATGATTTAATTCCTGCTCTTCCGAATGCACAGATAAGGAGATCTGCGTGTTATGTTGTCTGAACATTTTTCTTTTCAGTTGGATCAACAGCAATTAATTTAAGCTGATTAAAAATTCATTTAAATCGAAGTTTAAGGTATATGGACACTTGATTAATACCCTCATTTTGAAAAACAATGGCCCCTATAGCCATGGCTGCTGCTGTCCCTGCCGCTGCGTCACTCCCAGGACCCGAGGGGCTGAGCTTGTACGCTGGTCTGTCCATGGTCATGTCCTCAGCCCGACCCCACACAGCGTGATCCAGGGAGACCTTGCCAATCTACATAACACCACATTGCACGTTCACTGACATGGAACACCCCTTGAAAGATGTCCTTGTTAGGAATGGATATGTAACTCCACATAGAACTGCACGTTCATTGACTTTAATACGCCTCAAAAATATGTTACATGCAACCAAAAAATCAAACATAATTAAAACACAATTATCACTTATTCATGACATATAATATACATGGCTGATTATGAAAAAACAAAATTATAAGCGCACAATCGCCCATTGTGTGTGTGTATATAGAGATGTTGGGTTTTGTAATTACATGATCATTTTTTGTGTATAACATTTTGCAATCAACAGACATCATAGCATGTCATGTGTCACACCTGTCTGTGTAATTACGTAATGTAACAGAGACAGAACTCGGGTGCACGAGCCATAAATCAATCAATGTGTTTTGTTTATGATGTATGGCCTGATAGGTGTTAAGTTCAAATTGCATGTGGTCAGTGATCGAAGTTGTGTATTGCATATTGTCATTAGCAGACAGGCAGTTAGACACATAGGTGTCAATAAAACAGACACTCAGTTTTGTCTGTGAAAAGACATATCTATATCACAGTTAGACATTATGTCAACGCTAAATAATGACATTGCTTTTAATTATCGAACTGAGTAAGTGACTCGGTAAGATGAACGTGTGGTGAAATAGACAAATAAAATTATATAAACAGATAAATCGGTAATCTACTTTCATAACATATAAAAAGCTCGCGCCTGTGAAATATCAACAAAACATTAGAAAAATAGCTCGCATCAAAGCCTTCACCGAGTACTCACCGATGTCGAACGCCTCACTGGTTGGCACATAGCTGAGTAGATCGAGATCCTAACAACGTTCTTTTATGTAACGAGGAGATTATTTCCTATTTATCATATGTTATATTTTGGATTACACTTTCTCAGTATTTTCTATTTATTTTGATTAGACTACTGACAACGACCTTATAATCATCCCGCTTCCACGCTGCGTGAACCTATTCACTGCGCATGCGCTATGAGCGCAGCCCAGAGCAGCACAGCTGTTGAAACCACTTTTCACCCCAGCGCTGGGGTGAATGTAGTTAATCGTTTGAACTCCGATTTCGCGGGGTTTCTTTCATCGCGTTATTTTTCAACTTTATAACTTGAATTTGCATTTTTGATGATTTGTATCTGTAAGTCCACACCGAAAGGTATCAGAATCTGCAAAGTTGTGTTTTACGTTGCATGTGACCTTTAACTTTATAAAGATCATGTAAGGGAACAAAGACTAGCACTGTACGAGTATTTGGTTAACTTAAACGTTTGTGTTTTAAGTCGAAATGAAAATTACATGAATTTCTGAAAAACATGAGAAGTAAGTGAAACGTTCGTAAAATATGGCTTCATTACCTGAAGTGTTTGAAAGATGAGAAAAACATCAAATCACATCACATCACATCACATCACATCACATCACATTACTATGGAATACTGTAAGGGACATTCTCGCTATCTCGCATTCTCGCGATCTCGACCTTTGGAAACAAGCTAAAAATGCCAAAAGTGCGAGAATGCGAGATCGCGAGATTTTGGCCAAAGCTCGCGTTCTCGCGATCTCGCATTCTCGCTCTTTTGGCATTTTTAGCTTGTTTCCAAAGGACGAGATCGCGAGAATGTCCCTTACAGTATTCCATACTTTACAAACCATCGTCACAGCGGCGAGGTCTGTTTGCAATGCCGTTCTTGTCTCTATACTTTATGCTAGGATACAGTACCGAGTGTAACATGGAGAAATTTACCTGAACGTACAGCTCCTGCGTTACTGGGTTCCAGCTGTTTAGGAAGTAGTCGAGAGGCCAGCGGATGCTGTCGTACATGTTGTTGAGCTGGTCGCTGGCCACATAGGCGTCCCTCCACGCGTTCACGCCTAACAGAAGGTATGTCACAGCAGCCGACATTGGGAACGTGAACTTGATGTGGTCACCAGCTACGATTATAGAAGTAATACTTATTGTAGTGAAATGTCCCGATATTTGGCTTCATGGTAAAAGAAACGCCATGTATCCCGTTCTAGTACAGCGAACCCGTACAGCGAACCCCGTACAGCGAACCCGTACAGCGAACCCCTCACTATCGCTGTCCCTCCTATATCCTTCGACACATTAGCATCCAACACACATCCTCACATACATGATTACTGTCCATAGGTGTGCCACATGGCTGACTCAGATGCCCTAACGGCAGTTACATTGTATTCTCAATGATTCTGAGATTTAAATAAGAAATGTATGCTTGTTTGTTATATAACGTCTCACTATTAAACGATATTACAACTGTAGAATGGCGATCTGTAAATAGTCGAGTCTGAACCAGACAATCCTGTGATAAACATCATGAATATCGATCAGCGCAGTGAGAACAAGGTGACACTTGTCACCTTAGTCAGCGAGACTGACCAAAAATCCCAAACAAGCATGTGCGACTGAATTCTAAGCCAAATTTTCTTTAGTCATTTCCACATGTTGAAATCATGGTGACTTATGTCTCTACGGTATTTTTCCAAAATGGACACATACTACTCTGGAACATCATACATGATGGAAGTTTTGGAGGCACCCGAGGTTATTGTCCACTCACCATCATACCATCCTCCAGGAACCTTGTCATCTAGTGCCGAATCTACCCGCCAGGGGATTCTGTTAGTGTCTGGAAGATCACCTGATCGCTGTGCCTCATAGAACAATATGGAGAGCTCCAGGAGTTGAGACAAGTTGTGAGCAGAGGCGCTCCCTGCATAGTGTCAAAAACATGTTGGTAGAACGTGCATGACAACAGTTGATTACTTTCACCAGGAAGATGACGTAATTGTAAAACACTTTAACCAAGTTCTTGATTTGATTCATAAAATTCACTCAGTTCACACTGAAACACTTAATTATCTACTGGCAAACAAGGATAAGTTGAGCACCGACCTGACAATTGACCCGTATTAGCATACATGTATATGACTGCCGCCCACTGGGGCTTGCCATTGTCAGCGAAGGGGCCCCAGTTGTCTAGTAAAGTGCGATGGGTAAAGCGCGTGGCCTGTCTCAGCAAACACCGAGTTCGACAGCTACGCATCGTCATGCACTGCACGTGCACTAGCCTACATCTGCTCTACTTTTCACAAACCAAATGGGTTTGCTCATTGCCGGGTACCGCCTACGTCTCGTAAACGCGTTCTCTGCGCCGGTCCAACTTATCCTTGTTTGCCAATAGTATATTATATCTCCATTTACTTGATATGTTATAAATGCATTTTTCAATGCAGTACATGAGGATACCATATTTGATAAAAACACCGATGTTCTTTTGGACAGTATCTAGTTTACCCTCTGTGTACAGGTGCTGCTGTTTACATTAGTCTTGTAGCATATTGAGTCACTACATTGTCAGGAAACAACGGTGCTCCGCTATACTGTAGGAACCTCAAAGGTTCACTTGGTTGTAAGTAGATAACTATGCCAAGCCATACTGATTACTGAAGGAACCACAAAGGTAAAACCGTTAAAGGAATTGAGGATTTGACCTCAAGTCTAGCCTGTAGAAGCCCTGTACAATCTGTTCCGGCGTACTTCACTGGGATACCTGTGTCCAGGTATATACTGAAAGGAATTTACAACCCCGAGACACGTGCCTGGGGAGACGGTAGATACTGTTGGGCCACCGTCGGTCACCGTCACAGGGGTCAAGGTCGATCGTTGCCCCGGTAATGAGGTTGTGGAGGAAATGGCGTCTTCCGGCAGCTGATTTGTTTCTCGGAGATGAATTATGCCTGTCCAAAACAAATCACAATTCGAGAGTATAGAGTATAGACTCTCGAGGTTTCTGTCAAATTGGTACAAAGACCATACCAAGCGTGTATTCTTTATCCAAACCATTCGCAAAATCTTCGTGCATACCAAGCGTATGTACGTGGCGTATTTTGTTGTATACCTTGTTACAACCCATTTCTTATGTCAGTTTGATGATTTCTTTAGTAGCTTCCTTAACTGACTGTATACCTCTGATGAATATTTACCGCAGTGACGAGTTTAAATAAATATTAATGTCAACAGAACGTCCGTGTGACGAAAATACCAACCCGCAATGGCGGACTGCATGCCAGCGTTGTAATCACAGGCCACTTCGTTCTGGACGTAGTCGGTCCTGTCGTCCACGTAGTTGTCGTTCTGATCCGGGCCCCCAACCATGGCTCCGTAGAGAATCTGGGGGTTGGGGTCGGGGCTGTTGAATTCATTCCAGGTACAACTTGCAGGAGGGTCTGGGCACGAGCTGACGTCAGAAATAAAGGGGGTTAATTGAGAAACTTTAGAACACGTGATTATAATGAATTATTGCCAGCTAGGAATCAGACACACCTGTTCCATGTAGCGCTGCGGACGCCACTGAATCACTACCATCAACATGACTGACATCACTGAACATAAACACCTGCTGCAGCCTGAATGGCTGTCTTCCGATTTCACATTTGTTATTCAACACGTTCATTGTATATGTGTATGTCAGTCGGAACACGCGGGAGGTCTTCACAGTTCCTAACGCAAAAGTAAAGAGAAATTGAATGAGTGTGGTTTTACGCCGCTTCATGCAATATCCCAGCAATATCACGTCGGGGAACATTATAAATGGGCTTCACACTGTCTACCCATTATGGGAACCGAACCAAGGACTTTATCGTGACGAAGGAAGTCCACGCTTTTACCTCTTCGCTCCCGCCACACCACCAGGTTAACATACGTCACAAGACAAGGAATTGCTCATCGACGTGATCACCCTGTTGATACCTCGGTATCACATCGGTGTGCACTAGAAACACGATCATCAATGTCGACCCTGCACTCCTCTTGCATTACCCCGCCACACCTTAATAAATGATGTCGCACCCCTTGACCCAACCCGCCACATCCTTCACCGTCCATGCTGCACCCCTTGACCCAACCCGTCACATCCTTGACCGTCCACGTTGCACTCCTTGTTCCTACCCGCCACATCCGTGACCGTCCACGTCGCACCCCTTGTCCCACCCCGCCACATCCTTGACCGTCCACGTCGCACCCCTTGTCCCACCCCGCCACATCCTTGACCGTCCACGTCGCACCCCTTGTCCCACCCCGCCACATCCTTGACCGTCCACTCCTTGTTCCTACCCGCCACATCCTTGACCGTCCACGTCGCACCCCTTTGTCCCACCCCCTCCTTGACCGTCCACGTTGCACCCCTACCCGCCACATCCTTGACCGTCCACGTCGCACCCCTTGTCCCACCCCGCCACATCCTTGACCGTCCACGTTGCACTCCTTGTTCCTACCCGCCACATCCTTGGCCGTCCACGTCGCACCCCTTGTCCCACCCCGCCACATCCTTGACCGTCCACGTTGCAGCCCTTGTCCCACCCCGACACATCCTTGACCGTCCATGCTGCACCCCTTGACCCATGCATCCCGCCACACCCTTGACCGCCCATGCTGCACCCCTTGTCTCACTCCTCCACATCCTTCACAGACCATGTCGCACCCCTTGTCCCATCCAGCCAAATCCATTACCTTGCAGCGTGATGGGGTTTGAGTGGGTACTTGTCTCCAAATCCGATGACATAGCTCATGCCGTATTTGTTGTCGCCAAGGATATAATGTATCTGAGACAAGGCCCACGCACGGTACTCTGCAGCGTTGATGCCGTCGTCAGCAGCGATGAGGGCAAACATGGCCACGTTGGCTGTATAACAATGAGTGAGAGCTAACGTTATTTTCTTATGGTCCATTTTTTCTACTTTACACAATATACCTGAAGTAAGTGCATTACTACATTTGGAAGCATTTTTATCTCATAACAACGTACTACAAACTATTACACGATGCATGCACGGTTAGTGTAATGTTAACGCCCCTCTGTACACTCAGTGTCATTACGTCACGCCCTCGGGTTATAACGACATGCAGTTAACCAGGTCACTCTGACCACCAGCCATTTTACTGCAGCTTTTGACCAGTACACACCTGTCCTACACAGGGCACCATTGGGCCAGAACGTAAAGGAATGTATGCTACTGTAGAGTTTCATTGCAAGATGTGCACTTAATAAGGCAGGGAAAAGACATACATACCTGCATATCTGAGAGCTCCCCACTTCAACCTGTAGGCGAGACCCAGGGGCGTGTAGGGGACGCTCCCCCCGGGCATGTAAGAGGTGACGAAGGCCTCCACTTGGTCCCTGTATATCTGTTTCCCAGTGACCTCATACAGGACCAACTGGAACACAGAGGCTCCATATATTTAGCATGGAGAGACAAAGCATCACAGATGACGGCGTGTTTGCGTGAGGATGTTACTAACTGGCGTGCTCGTAACGCTGGTCACAGTTTGGTGCGTGTTTAATGCAGCCATACAAGGATGTACATAATTAAAACTACTGTCACAGTGAAACAATCAGGTTCCTCGACTGACTGACTGAGTTTTGGTTTTACACCGCTTTTAGCAATATTCCACTAACACCACGGCGGGGAACACCAGAAATGGGCTTCACACAATGTATCCATGTGAGGATTCGAACCCTGGTCTTCGACGTGACGAGCCAACGCTTTAACCACTAGGCTACCCCACCGCCCCAGGTTCCTCGAGCAAGAGTTGGTTGGTTGGTTGGTTTATTGTTTAACGCTTTATGGAGGCGGTCTGGAAACATTGAGTCTGGACCAGACAATCCAGTGATCAACATCATGAGCGACTCTGACCACCCGATCCTGTTAGTCGTCTCCTCCGAAAGGTATGGGTTGGTGAAGACCAATTCTAGCCCGGATCTTCACGGATCCTCGAGCAATGAAACCTAAAATACCACGTATTCTAAACATTTAACATTTCTATATACTCCTGGCGGTTGGTGTCCTCTCCGTAAATACTAGTTTCTTTACCTACCTTTACGAATACCACATTCTTGAGTATAACTGGGACGGTAGGATACTCTTAGCCAAGTTGTTAAGCTATGTGGAACCCATTTTCCGGCGTCTCCCGCCGTGATATTGTTGCAATATTGATAAAACCAACGTAAAACCATGCTTACTCACGCACTCTTAAACATAATTGGACCGCCTCCGTGGTGTAGTGGTTAGAGCGTCCGCCCGGAGAGCGGAAGGTCGCGGGTTCGATCCCCGACCGCGTCATACCAAAAGACGTTAAAATATGGTACTTGTTGGTCCCTGTCATGCGCTCGGCATTAATGGGTACAACAATGACTGGTCGGCTCGGAGTCAGTATAATGTGTCTGAGTGGGGTATTCATGCTTCACTGTGGCATGGTATCTCAGTGGGCTAGCACTATAAAACCAGCTTACGTCTGGGCTAGTACAAGCAGCCGCACATACACATACACACGTATGCACGTCGTCATATGAGCGAAATATTCTCAAGCACGACGTTAAACCCAATTTCACCTCACTTCACCTCACATTATTGATTGCAGTTAATTCAAGGAGGGACTATTGCGTACTCTCCTACCACCTCCCCAAAGACGGTTACCTGTGCTGCAGCAATCTTGCCGTCCCAGTCAAGGGACCAGGCCGTGTACATCGGCACCAACGTCTCAGCGTCCACGAGGTAGTTGTTATCACCCGTAGCCTTGTAGAGCCAGGCAGCAGCCAGTGCCAGCTCGTCTTCGTACATGCTGGACCTGGTCAGACAATAGCAGTAAAGGTTGACAATGTCAGGTAACGGTTGACAATGTCAGGTAACATTCTATAATGTCAGGTTACAGTTGACAATATCGGATAACAGTTGAAAATAATGTGTGACAGTTGAAACGACAAGTGATAGTTGACAAAAGAGTGTTTCGGCTGACAACACTATTCGACTGTTGACATTGAAGTGTGCCACTTGACAATATTTGATAACAGTTACAGTTGACAATGTCAGGTGACAGTTGCCAGCACTAACGTCTATGACAACTACCTTGGACGGGTGACAAACACGTCTGTGACAGTGACAGTTAGATATTTGACCTACTGCGTGAAGGGCCTAACACCATGTTGACAGTTGACAATAATACGTGACACAAATTCTGAAAACACCATGTAAGAGTGAGTGAGTGAATTTAGTTTTACGCCGCACTCAGGAATATTCCAGCTATATGGCGGCGGTCTGTAAATAATCGAGTCTGGACCAGACAATCCAGTGATCAACAGCATGATCATCGATCTGCGCAACTGGGAACCGATGACATGTATCAACCAAGTCAGCGAGCCTGACCACCCGATCCCATTAGTCGCCTCTTATGACAAGCATAGTCGCCTTTGACGACAAGCATGGGTTACTGAAGACCTATTCTACCCCGGGACCTTCACGGGTCACACCATGTAAGAGTATGTAACACCATGTAAGCTGTATGTGCGAGTACCAGCACCAGCAACAACTAGGGAGCAGTTGAAAATATTCAATATAGTACGGGCAGTTGATCAAGTGTTTGAAGGAGGCAAGGAACCACAGCTAAGAGAAATATCTAATGCTGTTGGCTGAAAGAAGCGACTGAAACGACAGTATAACATTTCCACAGCATAGCGCGGCCATTACACCAGTCGGAATTGACCTGTTTCTTTTATAAAAGTTCCATCTTAAACAGAACCCTCATCTTGGTTGGTGGAGCAGAAATCCCACCTGACATTGTTTATCAGGTTCCGTATCGACTATTAGTAAAAATGGATTTTATTAAAATAAAATTAAGACTATTTAAGAATTAAATCAAAGATAACCTCACCGGTACACATCTCTGGCGTCTGTGATGGTGTCGCTGTAGATACCACGGTACGTCTTGGCGAAGTCGTACAGACTCTTAGCAGCGTCAAGAAGCGTCGTGGCGTACGTCACATCTGGTGTGGAGAAACATTTCACAGCATTCATTCATGGCCTTTCATTTTATAGCATATATTCCACACTGCCGTTTCAACAAAATAAAAATACAAAGAAAATGTCTGAAAATTTCAAGCCAACACAATTCAATCTGATGAAGTCAAAATTTGGTTTTGACGTCACGTTGTCAAAATATGTTCGGAACAATGCAGTCATGTCTCGTCATAATATTTTTAGTACAGTCAACAATCAACAAGGTCTGCCGCTAATATATTCAAGGCATGCACACACTGCTTACGTTGCTGACATACTGTGTATTTGGATCCCTTACTTTCTTCCAGGTAACTACTTCGATGAAACCAGTGGTCAAGGTTTTATTATAGTAGTATACGTGATGGGGATACGGAATCAGGTCACATAAAGTTATATCATGAAGCAGAACAATTGCTGAGGGCGGTGTAAAAAACACGCACACAACGCATTCGACGACTTGAAAACATTTGGAATGAGGTTTGTCATAGGATTGCATTGAATAACGACGTGTGTGTGTAGATATCGGAGTTTATCGACGTCGAGGTTAGGTCTCCCGACATGAGCATGATGCTGACATATGCAATCAGGAGTAAATCACAGATTCAAGCCAACGACTAGCGGGTCCAGACGCTTGACGGTCACAACACAGAGCATCGTTTTCCGTTTTTATATTATTCTCTCGTTTATCATCAGTGAGTGAGTGAGTTTAGTTTTACGACGTTTTCAAACATATTCCAGCAATATCACGACGGAGGACACCAGAAATGGGCTTCACACATTGTACCTATGTGGGGAATAGAACGCGTGTCTTTGGCGTGACGAGCAAACATTAAACACTAGGCTGTCCCACTGCCTGGTTCGATACTGATATTTGCAGATCAAATGGAGGTACGTGTAATAACAAATTACCGAGACATACCAACTAAACTAATACATACTTCTATCTTTAAATGCAAGATATCCCATAGTAAGTGCTGTTGCGGTTTGGCCGGCTACGTCACTTCCGGGTCCTGATGGTGACACCTTGTACGCAGGTCTTTCCATGTCCATGTCTTCCGGTCTGCCCCAGTAATTGTGGTCCAGCGACACCTTCCCAACCTGCAACACGAATACGACATCAGATCAGATAACACTATGTGATAATCAATTCAAATTTATGTCACGTACAAGAAGGGTTTGATTTTATCAGTTTTTAGCACAGGTTGACAAAACTAGCACACCGTGGGAGTTATTGGCTGCGCCATCCGTTCTCACATGTCAGCTGGTGGAGACAAATATATATCGTATATAGATCGAATTGAATATTTTTTCTAACATTTTCGGACCCCCAAAACTGCCTGCAGCCATAGCATTCAGTTCCTTTCATAATTACAGGGAGCAAAGCAAATTAATACAAGAAGATGTCGTCATAAAGTAGCGATTAGGTTGACAACCTTCCTGTTTTATTGAGTATGTGATTTATAATTACAGGTCGGTACGTGGTCTCGGGTAAAATATATACACCACAACATGTTCTGATACGCAAACATAAAGTCTACTATATATCTACCATAGACCACGAGAACCGATCTAGCACAAATCTGTCATGCACTCCGAAACCAATTATGATGTTTCACTCACATGCCGCTACCACAGATCTATCATGCACAACCTAAATCAATCATGATGGATTGTGTTCCCTGATATGTCCCTCAGATATCCCAGACTGCCTCCCTGACTGTACCTGGGCATAGAACTCCATCTGAGTGGGTTCCCAGCACTTGAGGAAGTAATCCAGGGGCCACTGGACGCTATCGTACATGTAGTCCAGCTGACCCGCAGCGGTGTAGGCGTCTGGCCAACGTAGCAGACCCCACAGTAGGTAGGTGACGGCTGAAGACATCGGCAACGTGAACTTGATGAAGTCGCCGGCTTTAATATAGATACAGGTAGAGAACGCTTCTGCACCATTTCCACTGATTTAAACAAATGGTTTTGTATTTCAAATGTAATACAGAATGCGGCTGGAACGGAATCTAGTCCGACAAAACCGCAAGCATCACTTGGATTATCTCATTATGATCGAGAATGCACTTAGAAAATATTCAGGTATTATTCTAGCTAATCACATGTTATAAATTACAATTGAACTGCGGATTGAACATCTTGACGACCGTATCACAGCGGTATTGCGTATCTGTTGAATAACAATTTCTATATAATGATCGTAAATTAAGGGTTTGGTTTCAAATCCAGTCCTTGGACATATAATGTTGATCTCTAGCAGAATGCTTAAACTTATAACCTATTTTTTTGTCCAAAATATAGAGACCTTCATATCAGTGAATAAACTTGAATTCGAACTAGTGTTTAACCTCTCAAAGGACATGCATACCACACCTACTCGAGATAAGCATACACCATTTAAAGCTTGTTAGCATGGGTAGCATGGTAGCAGTGCTCTATCGTCACGCCACTGGCCCGAGTTTGATTCCCTAGCAACAGTACATGAGACTTACCATCGTACCATCCACCTGTTAGGTCGGTGTTACCTCCCTTGTCGCCCAGTGCAGAGTCTCCCCGCCAGGTGATTCTATTAGTTTCCGGTAGTTTGCCAGATCGCTGCGCTTCATAAAACATGATGGACAGTCCTAACACTTGGTTGTAGTCGAACCTTCCAGCTGAAAAAAGTAATGATTCCGTATAAAGAAGCTCTCGACAGAAAATAACAACACGACTGTCTCGGGAGGAGTTATCAATGTCGTAGCCTAAACACCGCATCGAGTATCATGTCGCTGACACCAAGGATTTGGTGAAAATTTTCTTCAAAAACCATGATCTAAACTTTGGTTTAAGACCGTCAGTGTCGGTACGTCATAATAAGCATGACAAACGAGCCAGTAGACCTGACGAAATATACTTCTCTTCAAAAGTTTAGACTCACTTGAAACACTCACTATATGTTACATATATATACTAGTATATGGTTACATCGAAGATTGATTTCTCCACTAATTTGGGGGAACCAACTGCAGACTGTATGCAGCTGAATAGCACGAGGACCATGCATCAAATTGCTGAAAGGCATGTGCAAATATCGTGCAAGTGAACAGCTGCGTTGTGGTGTAAAGTGGAGTTAAGAATTCGCCAATTTTCACTGACTTTCATCATTTACAATAATCTTTTCATTGTTACGAATTTGTTTTACAATACATGGAATATTTTGCAAAAAACGGATATTTCGTATTAAATGTCAGTGGGTAAAATGCAAGCGCGGCATGGATAGATATGGATATCACGTTGTGTTGTAGTGTCATATTTTAAACCGTTCTCCTCTAACTTTTGAAGAGAAGTATATGAAGACCCGTTCTGATATTGAATTACCTTGTTGGGTCTGTGTTGTAGTTGGTGTTGTCTGTGAAGTCGCTGCTGTTGTCTGTGAAGTCGCTGCTGTTGCCTGTGACGTCGTTGGTGTTGTCCATGATGTCGTTGGTGTTTTCAGCGAAGTCGCTGCTGTTGTCTGTGAAATCGCTGCTGTTGTCTGTGAAATCGCTGCTGTTGTCTGTGACGTAGTTGGTGTTGTCTGCGACGTCGATGTTGTTGTGGCAGACGTTGTCTCCGACGTCGACTGCTCAGTATCACTAGTTGTTAATGTTGTTTCCGCAAAAGTGGTTGTTGGGATCGTCGGTGATGTCATTATTTGTGTGGTAGTAGCTGAGGTAGCAGGCAACGTCGTCGTTGCCGGAGCAGGTGTAGTAGGAGCCTGACAGCGGTATAAGAACTTCCCCTTCAGTTTCCTGATATTAGGCATTTTGTTATTGTTGTATCTGGCCACAAAGCCAAGGCAGAGATTTTCATTGCGCTTGAGCACTTGATTGTAGCTGAAACTCTCGACAACATACCGCTCTTTCCTCTTAGTTACGTCAACACGCTCTACCCTTCGCACATTCCAAATCTGAAAAAAACAAAAAAAGCTCATTTAACACAATCCAATGTTTTGTATGTACATGCGTATGGTGAGATACAAAGGTAACGCCATTTGAAATAACAGGTGCGCCTGACCATCTGCAAGGTATATTTTCTATAGCCTTAGGCTAATAGTCGACTTCGAAAAGCACAGCTACGTAGTATACCTCCGGTTATGTAACGATGCGATAAATCGGTAACGATATTTTAATGAGGCCGTATAGTTTGTAATATGTACTTTTAACCATCGAGCTGTAAAGCGATTATTGGTTGTCCAACAGATACCTAATATTTATAGATACTATATGCATGACGGTTCTGTATCTTTAGCTTCATCGCTGAAAGGGGGCGGTGGGGTAGCCTAGTGGTTAAAGCGTTGGCTCGTCACGCCGAAGACCCGGGTTCGAATCCCCACATGGGTACAATGTGTGAAGCCCATTTCTGGTGTCCCCCCGCTGTGATGTTGCTGGAATATTGCTAAAAGCGGCGTAAAACCAAACTCAGTCAGTCAGTCGGTCAGTCATCGCTGAAAGGATGCAGTTCATTGGCATAACTACAACGAAAACCTATTCTGATTGAAAAAACATCCGGAAGCTGACTGAAACGAATAAAGAATACTTACATCTAACACAGAAAGTTTAGGATTGAAATCAATGGCGACTCTCCAGCCACATTTGACGTTCATCTTGTTTGTGATGCATAGTTCCGCCTGGAAACCTCCCGGCCAGGTGTTGAGGAGGGTGTAGTTGGACGCCGCAATTGTCGTCGAGATCACAGCCGCAAGTGGCAGCAGGAATCTTGAAAAGAAGTCACACATGTTTATAGAGTACATGGTCTTCACCAGATCGGGATCACGGGTGTTCCTGTCCTGCACAGTTGCGCCTTGTCGACGTGCGAGATGGTGGGTTCGAATCCCAGGTCACGCTGAATATGTTTAAGGTTTGCCAGCACCATGCTTGTGTTCGTGTGTTTCAATGAAGTTTAGACATTCTGTGTATATATAGGATTTGGTTTGGACAAACGTTGTATTAGGTTAGACAAGAGTGAGTGAGTTTAGTTTTACGCCGCTTTAAGCAATTTTCCACCAGAAATGGGCTTCACACATTGTAACCATGAGGGCAATCGAACCCGGGTCTTTGGCGTGACGAGCGAACGCTTTATCCACTAGGCTACCCCACCGCTCCAGGTTAGACAAGAGTGGTTAGTTGTTTTGTCGTTTAACGCCGCACTCAGCAATATTCCAGCTATATGGCGGCGGTCTGGACCAGACAATCCAGTGGTTAGACAAGGGTGAATGTTATGTACAATTGTAGAGAGACTATAATGTGACGGGTAATTTTAGGTGTAATACTGTCAGATGTTTTTCTTACAAATCTTGTCACTGATCGGAAATCAACATATTCATTGTTATTTTCTTACGGCCAACAAATGTAATTTGCCGAACACGACCCAGAAACAATGATCGTCAGCAAATCTTATTTGGTGATTTATGTTTTTTTATCTTCTTTAACATACTTGTCTGAGTCCCATATCTATATGGACAATTTCCTTTAAATTAGAAGTGATATTGTGATCTCATAGTGAATGTGGACTAAGCAGATATTGTTGAAACAATTTGAAACTAGATTGTCACATTTGAGCTGCGCAAAAGAAAGTCTCAGAAACCGCGAATTTGTTGGTGCCTATTGTGGTACACAGACAGTGTGATTACATCTGCTGAAGCTATGATATGGAGAATACAGGTAGAACAACTTACGTGTACATTGTTCTTGAGGGAGAGAATGATCCACTAGAGAGAAGTTGACTAAAGGCGTTTATATAGGCCGCTGACTTTCCACCTACATACCCTGGAGGCGACGCGTGACGCCATCAGTAATTACATACCTTACTGAACAATAGACAGTCGACAAGGAATAACTGCAGTAAACCTTCGATAAAATCTCATTCACACATGAAAGCAATATTACATCCTGTTGGCTGTAAGCTGTTTATAATTGACACATTGTCATACCCTGCAACTATGTCCAGGTGTCGCGGAGATGAAGCAGTAGCCTATGGTTTATCATAATGATATTATTATTTTACAGATTTAAATCCTGACAGAGTCAGCCTGAATAAGCTCATCATCAGCTCTTGGCCCTTGGCCACGCAGCTGGAACAGGGAATTTGAGTTATCCTAGGAAGTGCTACCTAATCGAACCCACCAAAACATTTCGTTGGCATGTAGATTCCCCAACACTACAGCCTCCTGCAATACCTAGAACATCAGAAAGGCTGTGCTGTGGGTGGAGAACACGGGTACAACAGATGAAAGGTACCAAACCATGGGCACCGAGGACAATGGGGAGCTTGAAAACAGTGTATTTGGCAGGCAAGCGAGGTATATTGACGGCAAGGTCCGCTTTTTTACCATGTTTTTAACTTGTAATGTTCCAATATAAACCGTTTTGGTTGGGTTTTTTGGGGGGACAGTAAAGGGCTATTATTTTACGGTTACAGACTGAAAGTTATCTTACTGTAAATGTTGCGGTGTAACGTTCCAATATAAACCGTGGGGGATTTTTTGTTTGTTGTTGTTGTTGTGTTTTTGGTGGGTTATTTTGTTTGTTGTTGTTTTTTGGGGGGGTTGTTTATGTTTTGTTTTTTTTCTGTTTTGTTGCTTTTTTGTTGGTCTTTCTTGTTGTTTTTTGTTATTGTTGTTTTGGGGGGTTATAGTAAAGAGCTGAGAGTTATCCTATCAGGAATGTTACGGTATGACACTGGGATGTATATTGTATTATTTTACGGTTGAAGACTGAAGGTTATCGTACCGTGAATTTTACGGTGTAACGTTTGGAAAAAGGATCATAGTGCATTCAGTACTCGGCACAAAGAATCAATTCAAGTTGTATATGTTCACTGCAATCCTTTCTTATGGTCACTTGAATTTGTTCAAGTGGAAACCATCATAACCAAATGCTGTATCAATTTGGAAATAAAATGCACAAAAATGCAACAAAATAACACGAATATGTTTTATTCAACACGAACGGGCGTTGGTTTACTCAACCGGCTTACCATTCACATATATTTATAACGTCACACTGTAAGCCGCTCGGAAACTCAAATACATGTATGTCATTGTCATCCTCTGCACATTCACTCATGTTAATTCCACCATACTGTAGCTTTTCAAGAACATGTTTTCGAACTGTGTTATTACCCAATTAAAGAAAAGGTGACAATTCGAAAATAATACCCGAATTGTAGATACAGAAACACGTGCAGTGAAATTAAAAATTACTAAACTGAGGTCGATCCGGGTCCACGATTCTCCCATGCCTGGCGCGCCAGTTTGCCAGTGAGTGAGTGAGTGAGTGAGTGAGTGAGTGAGTGAGTGAGTGAGTGAGTGAGTGAGTGAGTGAGTGAGTGAGTGAGTGAGTGAGTGAGTGAGTGAGTGAGTGAGTGAGTGAGTGAGTGAGTGAGTGAGTGAGTGAGTGAGTGAGTGAGTGAGTGAGTGAGTGAGCAGTGATGAGTGAGTGAGTGAGTGAGTGAGTGAGTGAGTGAGTGAGTGAGTGAGTGAGTGAGTGAGTGAGTGAGTGAGTGAGTGAGTGAGTGAGTGAGTGAGTGAGTGAGTGAGTGAGTGAGTTTAGTTTAGTTTTATGCCACACTCAGCAATATCCCAGCTAAATGGCGACGGTCTGTAAATAATCGAGTCTGGACCAGACAATCCAGTGATCAACAGCATGGGCATCGATCTGCGCAATTGGGAACCGATGACATGTGTCAACCAAGTCAGCGAAACTGACCACCCGATCCCGTTAGTCGCCTCTTACAACAAGCATAGTCGCCTTTTATGGCAAGCACATGATATGGGTTGCTGAAGAACTATTCTACCCCGGATCATCACGGGTCAGTTCGCCAGTGAATTGTGAAGCATCACATATACTTTGACAGATAACATGAAGTATTTTCAAATGAGACCATTGCCTCAATACACCTCGTCTACTGTCCCAATCTAAGAAATAATTGAAGGGGACCACACGTTTGATGCTCGGGTAGGGGATTTATATCAGACGTATATAATCTGGGTCACTCAATTAAAGCAACGTTTGGCAACACACGCCTTCAGTCGAATTGAGTGAGTGGCGGATGCTGACCTTTTATCCAAAAACCATTGATACCATTGCCACTGCTGCTGTGCCTTTCACATCCTATGGAATCTGTTTCGGCAGATAATCACACCGTTTGTCCATTTACTGACGTCGTTGTATGTCCACAACATGTCTGAATCCAAAGAACGTTGACCGCAGTCAAAGGCACGTGTTAATGAGTAAGTGAGTGAGTTTTACGCCGCCTTTAGCAATATTCCTGCAACGTCATGGCGGGAGACACCAGAAATGGGCTTCACACATTGTACCCATGTGGGGAATTGAACCCGGGTATTCGGCGTGACAAGCGAACGCTTTAACCGCTAGGTTACACCACTGTCCCACACGTGGTAATGCCTCAAACACACTCAACAGCACTATGATCTAAAATAATTTAAATCTTATGATCTGAATGTTGTGTGGAGTCTACTAGCTTCATGTCGCCTAGCTACATGTCTGCCTGACAAGAGAAAGAGTAAGTGAGTGAGTTTAGTTTTACGCCGCACTCAGCAATATTCCAGCTATATGGCGGCGGTCTGTAAATAATCGAGTCTGGACCAGACAATCCAGTGATCAACAGCATGAGCATCGATCTGCGCAATTGACAAGAGAAAGCAATATGCTTCAGAGCTAATGGTGAATCTCGGGTAGAGAACTGCACCAGCCAAAGTGTCTCCAGGGTTAGACACACTTACAGTAACGCCAGTACACAATAAGGGATATTGCATCAATTGTCAAGAGAACAAACTAGTCATTTACGTGGATATTATCAATCTTATCAGTATGTCAGAGACTGTGGTCCATGGATATTGCGGACTATAGTACCTAATAATGACAGTCTACATTTTACGACATGCCTACATTTTACGACATGCCTACAAACCAAGCATACAATACCCAGCATACCAGATACTACATGTTTACCCACGCTCAGGCGGTTAGTGATATGTGGTGGCCACTTAAATACAAAAATCCCACATTGGTAAAGTACATTTTTAAACCAAAATGTTTCGTTCTTTCATTTATAGTCTTGAACTTTCATGCTTTGGGGGATGGGGGCTTGTCGTTACTCGTAACTTCATTCAATAAAAAAACATGAAGTGAAAAGAAAAACTGGATAATTCGTTAAAATAGAACTGACGTAATGAAAAAAATCGATCGGAATTTTCCACCAGCCACGCTCTAACTCTAACTCAGTTCCAGAGAGTGAGTGAGTTTAGTTTTACGCCGCACTCAGCAATATTCCAGCAATATGGCGACGGTCTGTAAATAATCGAGTCTGGACCAGACAATACAGTGATCAACAGGATGAGCATCGATCTGCGCAATTGGGAACCGATGACATTTGTCCACTAAGTCAGCGAGCCTGACCACCCGATCCCGTTATTCGCCTTTTACGACAAGCATGGGTTACTGAAGATCAATATTCTAACCCGGACCTTCACGGGTCCAGTTGTATTCCAACCGACAGTACCAGGGTTGTTTGAGAAGTTCTCAGTCTCACCTGGAGGGTGTCATAGGATATCGTATACCATACAGGTATACAAACTGTATGTAGAAAAACTTAGTTTGTTTCGCCATGACAAAATAACAAAGATCTTTCGAAATGGACAAATATGTGGAGCGTGCAGAATCTAGTACGCCATTTTGAAAGTGGTCAAATGTAACATGTATCAATCATTTTCAG